GGTGAAGTCCACCAACCTGACCTCTAAGAAGTATTCTGGCTGTCCTTCTTCCAAGACAGATCTTGGAAATAGATCTTCCAAAAAAGATCTATTTGTTCTTTTATGCATTATTTGTTTTATGGGTCTTCAAATGCATCGCTTCCCTTTCATCTTCCTTATTCAATGTCTAACTTTCATATGCATATGAAGCGATTAAAAATACTGTAGTTGGAGTCAGGCTTACCTTAGTCCTCAGAGAAACATCATTGAACACTTGAAAGATGTCACCAGCAGCAAATTTACCCAATACACTATATCTTGATCTCTTGACTGCTGCTTCCTGGGGCACTGATTGTGGATCTAAGCACAACCAAATTCTTTACAACTTCAGTCTTTCCTCCCTTAACATGATGTTCCAATATTGATTCGGTTGTGAGGATTTTTATCTTCTTTACATTGAGTTGTAATTCACATTGAAGGCTGCAGTCCTTAATCTTTATCAGCAAGTGCCCAAGGTCCTCCTCCCTTTCAACAAGCAAGGTTGTGTCATCTGCATATCACAGGGTGTTAATAAGCCTTCGTTCAATCTAGATGCCGCATTCTTCTCCATAGAATCCAGCTCCTCTGATTATTTGCTCAGCATACAAATTGAATAAGTATGAGGAGAAGGTAGAACCCTGCAGCCCCCTTTCCTGATTTTATACCATGTAGTATGCCCTTGTTCTGTTCACACAACTGCCCCTTGATCCATGTTCAAATTCTGCATATGCACAATAAAGTATTCTGGAACTCCTAGTTTTATGATCCACACAGTCAGCTATCTTTGCATAATCAACGAAACACAAATAAACATCCTTCTGTAGTAAATTCATAGGTAATACTAAAAACCAGAACTATAATGCTGATGCAGAATGACCCGACTGTGGTTTTCTCACACTGTAACTGTTTATAGGAGTAGAAAGCCCAGTCTTTCTCCCACAGAGCTGCTGATGGTTTCAAACTGCCAACCACGACGATCGCAGCCCAACGCATACCCACTACACCACCAGGGCTCCTGTAGTAAAACTAATGACTTCCAATTTTATATTTCTGCCTAAACCTTGCGGCTCAAAGTAAGTGTTCATCAATGTAGTGAGAATTTGACCATCTTCCCTTCGTAATCTAGCACACAGCTCACACCCACCATAATGAAACGAAATCTCTTGCTTTTGCTCTGTAAATCGCCTTCCTTCTTCATGACCTGTCTATGCTAAGGACAACACCACCCATTCTGTACTCACGTCACAAACACAAACCCGCTCTCTTCTTTCATCCTCGTATGCTACTTCATTAGCAAGATTTATGAATTCTCTCTCCAAAATAGATCCCAGATCTGGTCTTTTCCGCCTCAACCAGCATAGCCCAGCGATAATTTCTTCTTACGCAGGTGACTGTAATACTTAGTCCCCATGTCTCTTGATTCCCAGTCTTGTACCTTTTCCCCCCTTCTTTTTAAAATCATTTTATTGGAGGCTCATCCAACTCTTATCACTATCTACACATACATCCATTGTGTCAAGCACATTTGTATATGTGTTGCCATCATCATTCTCAAAACATAAATTATGTATCACATAGTAGCCAGAGGCAATTCCATCTCCATATTAAGGTTTCTAAAAAACTCATTGCCATTGAGTCTACTCCGACTCATCATGATCCTAGAGGGCAGGGTAGAATTGCCCATGGGGGTCTCTGAAACTGTAACTCTTCATGGGAGTAGAAAGCCTCATCTTTCTCCCACGGAAGTGTTGGTGGTTTCAAACTGCTAACCTCACAATTAGCAACCCAGCCCGTAACCCAATTTGTAACCTGCTAGGCCACAAGGGCTCCTTACTAAGATCTGCTGGGTCCTAAATAAGGTGGCACGTTTGCATCACTTTGATCTTATCTCCTGTTATTTTCTTTTTCTTTCATAAATTGCACTGGACACATAACATTACTTTTTATCTTGAAAAACCATTTCATCCTTGTTGAATCAATATAATTTATTGTATAAAATATGATTGATTGCATTTAATCAACAAGGGTGATTGGAGATTAAGTATAACCTCATATACCTTCAAATGAGGTAAAGCTGTTGAGCTGAGAACTACTCACGATCCAAGTTACTTTGTCCACTTACTTACCCTAGTTTGCTTCTTCACACTAATGTGATTGCATTCATCGATTCAACAAATATTGACTAAATCAATAGACGAGCCCATTGGTACATGAGAAGCATCTGGTCAGTTAAAATGTTTGGGGAAATATTTCACCCAAAAACTGTGCTTTCAATTCCTGAGCCTGATACAATCTATTCCTTCTATGAATTGCCCTAACATGTGGTCAGAAAGGATAATCACATATTAGCAAGCATTATGGCCTCTTCATTTCTCCAGTTTCTTTAAAGAGTTATAAGCATCATTCTATATCATCACTGAATATTGGCTTGAATTTCAACTCAATTTTCAGTTCCCTCCTGACTTCTGAGGTAGACTAGAGTTCTCTGTGATCGAACAAGTCTACTTTTGAATACCCTAAGTGATGCAGCTTATCTGTTAATTAGCTGAGTTTCAACCTTAGCCAGTAATCACCATCTATAATGCAATTTCCACTTATCAAAAAACAACATCGGTAACTTTTAGTTCAGTGGAATAATTGTGTATCTGAAGGTGGGAATATTCCTCCCTTTGGAACCAAGATTTCCAGACCCCAAAAGCTTAGAGTTGCAGAGATAGATGCCAAAAATGTTGCAAATGGATCATTAGGATCATTAGGAGTAATGGTGAGTGCTGCCACTTCCATTTAACCGCTTGGTTACTGAAACCATGAATCCTGGCTGCTAGAGAAAAAGCACCATGTTTCGGACACTATTTTAGAGCACACACAGTCTTCTGGAGAATGTTGCCCCAACCCTGCAAGGTAGTGCTACCTAGCTGGCACAGTAATTGTTTCTTTAGAAGGCCATGCCATCATGCGATCAAGCCAACTGCTTCAGAATGATGGGCAACATGGTAAGAGCAGTGGATTCCATGAAATTGGGCCCGTTGCTGCCCTTCATTTGCTGTAAAATATGTCCCTTGATCTGAGGCTATGATGTGTGGAATACCAGGCTGGTGGGTTGTTCAATAAGTCCGTGAATGATAGTTTATATGAAGTTGACGCAAAATCTAACTATCACAGGCAGTATCATATAGGTAAAGGACACCTGCTTCTCTGTATATGCTCCTTTGCCTTCTTTTATTTTAGTTGATAAGCACTAAGCACTGGGAATAAATGATAAAATTGCCAGACTTAGCTGGGTCACAGAAGGCGATAATTTATGCATTCCTCAGGTGGAAACTTCCAGGAATGGTAAAATTATACATAGTCACTTTGTCCTGGTTAACATTATGCAACTTCAGCTCCGCTTTTGGTATTATACAACACCCTTTGCTACCACCAGTGCCAAAACTTTTGTATAAGGACAAAGTATATTTTCCAAGAATGACCTCACGGTATTTCAATGAGGAAAATGTTATTTAGAATATGTGAATCATTTAGAATGATTGACACGTATGAAAAACAATATGAACACTACTTATTACTGATATCATGTGAGTGAGTAGAGATGTTCGGGGTTGTGCTACAGTAGTATGACTCAACTCTTCATAATGCAGCTCAGTAAGTGTCTTCTCATTGAACTCTTTGTGAATAGATGACACACATCCATGTAAACATCAACAAAGGAGCAGGGCATGATTTGGGAAACAATGTATATGTAGACTAATTCATTCAGGAAGTCATTTATACACATCTAGTGAACTGCTTCTGAAGAACCATTTAAGACATTGAAAAAAGAAAGGTTTCTCTCCTCAGAGAGCTTACATTCTGGTGGCAGAAGCCAATGACCACTAAAGAAGATATTCAGAGAGGTAACAGTGTAAGCAACCATCTTAGATAAATTGGAATTTGCATGATGCCAAGTGGGAAAAAATTCCTTAGAAGATTTGCAGGCACAGGCATGGGTGTTGTGCTGGCTTCTTCCTGAAGCTCAAAGCTACATAAAGAGTGTATACATAAACAGGCATGAGAAAAGTCAATCCAGATTGGTATTTACCAATCGCACAAAATAAGGCATCTTGGAGTCATTAAATCTTTCTTGCGATGACAAAAAAGGCTTGGTATAGAATCAGTGAAGTTTACAACATCAAGTTTGGTAACAGCTTCGATAAGGACTGACTTTGTCAGACGGTGGGGGTAAAAGTCTACTGGGAGTAAGTTCAAGAGAAAACTGGAGGCT